AGCAGTTGTAGGAAAAGGTGCAAACATAAGCTGAACACAGTAAACATGTGTTGTAATTACACTAAAATCTTGTAATTACAGTGCCAAAGAGTTTACGTCTGCAGCCGATCATAGTGGCAGGCAAGATAGCTTTGAGAAACTGGGTCTGTTGTTTCAAGACAAACCGAACAATCAACTGTAAGAGTTTTAGATCCTAAATGAACAATTGGTATAGGTTGCTGGTGTTCCCATTATAACACCAGCAACCTATACCATCCATACAAGACAGGATGATTCATGCTTTTGTATTTTCTTACACCAAATTCTTACCCTACCATCTAAATGTGGCAGCAGAAATCGACCCCCATGAGACAAGGCAACGTTTTCTGTTGTCCAAATTTTGGTGAGCCTGTGTGAATTGAAGCATCAGTTTGCTGCTATTATCTTATCAGGCAGGAGTGGCACCTGCTGTGGCTTTCTGCTGCTGTAGCATGGCTGCTTCAAGTTTTTTGTGCATTCAAAGATGTTCGTCTGCATAACTTGGCCATAACGAATGCTTTTTGTTACCTTCCTGTCGAGTTTGGCCATTGTCCCAGCACGTTCTCACTCCTGAGCGTACATGTGTAGATTCATTCCAAACCGTTCTCACGTTTTCATTTTTTCTGATCTCGTAATGTAGAATATATCGTAATATATCGACGGTTTGTCACCTAGCGTAAAATGTTACGCTTTGGGAGTGAGAGCGTGTTGATTCTCCTCACCTCTGAAATCAAGAAGGCATTTTACAGACCATTCTCTGTAAATCCTAGAGATGGTTATGTGGAAACATCTCAGCAGATCAGCCCATGTGACAGCAACAACCATGCCACATTCACTTACACAGTCACTTACATCTCTATTTAAAGCAAACAACTTGGCACTAATATTCCTGTTTGACAGTAGGCACTTTATTTGAGCACAAAACGACACAGAAGAGCATTATTTTTAAAAGGCACAAGGCAATCAGCAGAACTTTACATGTACATTCTTCAGTTGGTATCAAATGTGATTTTAAGAAAAGCAAAAGGATATGTGTTGAACAGTATCTACATTCATAAACCGCTTTAATGGAGAACTGTTTGTTTCAGTGATCCCTGTGATGAGAATCAGTTTGTAGTGTATTAACATGTCATTTTTTATAAACTAGAAGACATATATGAGCAGAAACAATCATGAACGAAAATCTCCGCCTCGTGACTGTAGTGTAGTCATCAATGTAGCTGATTTGTCAGAGTGGGGAATTGGAAACAAGCTTTATCTAACACTAACAACACACTAGAAGCTGTTTCATAATGAAGTCTAAGATTTATGTTGTCTGTGTGCACGTGATTCATTTCAGCTCAGTGTAAGTCTGCTGCTGTTTAGTTGCTCTCTGTTTCACCGAGTGTGTCCTCTGCTAGACTGTGTTTGTGACGCAGAGTGGAGAAGAGAAGTGAAAACCACAGCAGCCGACTTCAGGAAAATACAATACACTACTGTGACTGTAATAAAAAGTTTCCAACTAGTGCTAATCCACCTAAATTCTTTGCTTGTGATGATAGTTTGCTACAGGAACTGTAAACATTTTCATGCGCTCAGGGAGTTTTTTCTCTACTCTGACTGGCAGGAACAGAATACTATCTCTGTTATGGGTCTGTCTGATTCACAAATTCAGCCCTGCATTTTCTTCACACAGTGGGGTCTAATGCTGTTCTTGTTTGTGTTCAAAGAAATCTTGTGAGTGAGTAAATGAGTGTAGCTTCCATGAGCCAAAGGGTGAGGTTGGGGCTAATTTACATATCTATTGAGCCATGACTAGTAAAAGTGATGTTTACATCATTTTAGGCCATGGAGCGATTACTTTCTTGGGAGAAATTCTAAATGTGTAATTTGGTGGTAGAGTGGGTCACCGGAATTCAAAGCACATTCACTCTTGTACTCTTAGTCAAGCTAGCATTGGAAAGGACGTGTTCATTTTTGGAAAGAACAGAATTATATGTGAGGTTTTGGACCAAAGCTTAGACAGCCAGCTGATTATGAGATTGCTTGTTTCACATCCTTGGAAAACACAGGCATGCAGGCAAAGCATAAACAGCACTTGTTCTGCTTTTGTGCAAAACATTTAATGTTTAATTATGCAAGCGGTGCTGCTTAGTGACAACTGATACAAATCTGCATAGTGGTGCACATCAAAGTCAGAAATAGAAGCAGCAATTTAAAAAAAGCACTCTGCTGTTTTCAGATGCTTGTTTGGCATATGTTCGACTTATTGCGTAACAGTGATTGTCTTTTATTTGTAAGATATTCAAATATGTACACAGTTCCAATCCTCTGCAGTGGGGGAAATTTGCCTGTCCTCAGCTCCTCGATGGCTGTTTCGGTGCTTGCAATAGAATATAAATGTTTGACTTCTGACAAGTACGCCTGTGGAGATATAAAGACATTTGGGGGATCTGGTTGTGTTTGTCCTCTTCAGTTGCCGTGTTCAATAAATTTGCCAAATAATACAAAACAGTATTTATCATTGTGTCAGTTCCCTGCAAAAACTGGCAAAAGGAAAACTAATCTGGTCCTGATGAGTTGATAGAGTTAGTTGTTTCATGTCGGTGCCAACAGAGCACTGCGGCATATTTGCTGTGTATGTGGTACTCCGCCAACATTTGGGGGTGTATTTCAAAATCTGCCAGTCACTCGAGCTGTTAAATAGACTTAAATTCGATTATTTCTTTAAGTGTCCTGCAACATGCAGCTATTTAATAAGCAACAGATGTTTCTTAGAGCTGGTGTTGAAACCAAATATAATGGCTGGGTTGCACCTGGGGAACAACTTGAATCATAGAAAATTAGCTAACTGGCAGGAACTGTGGTCAAATTATAACATATAATGGTCTCACTTGTGGTTCTGTGCAAAATCATTATGGCAACATGTTAAGATATGTAAGGTAGATGGTTGCTATGAATTTAAAATGTATGCTTCAAGTTCTTCCAAAATTTGGCTCTCAGTGTGTGTTTTATGAGAAAAGATGTATTCAGCTTGTTTATTAGTGTCCAAATGGTTTATTGTGTCGGGGAATCACGACCTCAGACTCTTAAATACAGCTACATCCTCACCGGGATCAAAACAGGAGCTTGAAGGTGGTGTTTTTCCCACCCCGTGTAAAGCCAAGACTGGAGAAGCTATTGTGTTTGGACACCCAGTTTGTCAAAGTGAAACTGGACTTGTGAAGCCCTCCCCTTCAAAATATATATCTATGTTCCACAAGCCACGCTGCTTGCAAAATATAAACACAGCATGAATCTTGGATGGGAGCTCAAAAAAGAGCATAACTGGAAAAGATCTCAACGCTGACTTACATGAGGTCTAGATTTTAGAGTGCCCCACGGTGATGGCTTAGTTTCTCTTTCCAGGTCTCGTAGAGAGCAAGAGATGGACATGTCTGACTCGCGGTCTGGCAGTTTCAAGCGCAATGCTTTCAACTGTTGTCCAAAACCACTTTTGTGCATAACCACACACACACACACACACACACACACACACACACACACACACACACACACACACACACACACACACACAGATACACGCACAGGAAAACAGACAAGATCTGATTTCAAACTAAAAGCAATATTTTACCAAAACACACATCAAAAACAGGCCTTGCTCAATAATAAGAACTGAACTACAAAGGTAAACATCGCTAGGTGGTGATGTTTTATCATTCACAATCCAACAGATTTAACCAAACACGTGTTGGGTTCACAGCAGACCACACATATATTTGTACTCTTCCTATCTCACAATACGACCCTTCTAATTATCATCTGCTGGATGAGCAGCATTTACATATGATAAACTTTGGTTTTACTTTAAGTCGCCTCATCAATTTAACTTTATGCTCTCGCTTTCTCATGCACTATACTTTCAATCTTGCCAATATAATAGCAACGATTTTGTATTTAGTAAGGCTTAAAAGTAGGAATTGAGACCATAAACACATCAGCAATGTGTTTAGAGTGGCTGCAGATAAGTTAAAAAGTTAGACTTTTTGCTCATTGGCCTCCATAAAATCTGACTTCTTTTTGCGACCACAAGAGTCGCCCCCTGCTGGGTATTAGTAAGACTGTAGGTTTAAGGCACATGAATGTTATGTCCATCTTATGTCCAACACATAAAAGAACACCCACAACCACAAGACTAGACAGTGGCAATACCTAATCTTTGATTCATTTCAAGTTGCAACATTTTTGTCACTGTTTTACATTACTATCGTGTTAGTTAATATTTCTGTGATAACCTTGAGTAGTTTGGGGAAAGCTTTTTTTATTGACCCAGTAATGTACTCTGAGTTTAGGACCGACTATTGTTGCTCATCAGCCTAGTAAAATCCAATGACTTGGATTTATTTCACCCCCACCAAACACCATCTGATGTAGATGTTTTGAGTTACTTGGATGATTTGTTGTGACATTACCCCACAGTGTGCTGACAAGCTCATGTTTTATGTTTTTAAATGATAAACTAAAGCAGCGTGTGTCCTTATTTATACATTATCTAACAGAAAGTGAAATGCTGAGAGATGAACACACTCACTCTGCAGGGTACTCCACATGAAAAACATTTTAGCTTCAGAAATTTAATTAACCAACCAGCAGGAGTAACGAGTGTGTACACAGAAATGTAATGAAATGATCTGTAAATCAAATCATAACAGAACAACTGTCCAATTACTTGCAACATATGGATCTCTGAAAATCTTTGGCTTCAGCGTAATGAATACATCTCAGAGGACAATCATTTATGGATGGAAAAGTGACTTTACGTGACATAAACTTCTCAGTTATTATCTTGTGACTCTGTGACACATTGTGAAACATTTTAAATCACTAAATCACTATGCACAGAGACCCCAACACAGCTAAATGCTGAAATATGTTATTTTCTAATCCTTTCTGTTAAATCTGGAGCAAATTTGTAACATAGGTTTTACAATTTGCAGGCAAAAACAAAGTTAGCCTAGCATAGCACAAAAAAATAAACATGGAAGCCATTACCACGACTTTTCCCAATGCTCACTAATTGCTCACAAATAGCCTGTCTTCTATACTGTGAATTTAATAAAGCTGCTACTAGTAAACATTTGAAAAGTTTCAATGCAACTTCTTATCAATTCTACTGTTTCTGATACCTATGCTAATCTAAGCTAATTATCTATTAGCTATTGCCAGCTACACCCCAGTCATACAGGCCTAGAGAATGACCGCTGTGGCAGCAACAAGTAAAAGTGTGAAGTCTCCAGTATGTTATTGAGTGATTAATGGAGGTTACTGGTAGTCACTATGTGAAACTGGCTACCAAGAGGATGTTGCACCAAAAACCTTGTTAGCAGATTGCTGCTGTTGCATGAGAAACACTGACTTGTCTGCAAACCCTCACCAATTAGTCACCAAAAGGCAATGAAATTAAGGAAAGTACAACATGAAGACAGTTCTCCATTAAAGTAAAAGGTGCATCTTTTGAAACGCATTGGTTATAGCAGCAAAGCACAACATTTACTTAGTTAACTTTCTAGATTTCTGGTTTGAATTGTATATTTTTAAGTTTTACTAAGGCTTGGCCAGTAAATGGAACATCTTTGCAGATAATTCTACAACTTTCCTGCAAATTATCGGCAACTTCAGTAATTTGCTAGCAACCAAAGCAATCACACTTTTTTGTGTCTGGCTAACAGTTTAGTTGGCAGAAAGTACAATTTTAGATTTACCACAAATACCTTTCCACAAAAGGTATTTGTGGTAAAGGTGTTTGTCTGTTTGTTTGTTTTTTCACTCAAAAGAATAACCATTTAAACTGCAAAAGGTAGGAAAACTTTGTATGCGTGGTATAGAGATTTACAGTTATAATATTATTTAACATGCTGCATAATTGTTGAAGTTACCATATATTATTTTAACTGGAATATAACTTGACTTCACACAGGGAGCGTTAGAGCAACAGAAACATGTGCAGGTGCGTGCCACCCAGCAAAAATTGAGCTTAAAACAGTAATTTAATGCAATATGAGATTTGCCTTTCATTTTGTGATTTGAGTAGAAAATAAACCAGCTCTGTTGCTGTGTTTTCATAGCATGCCTGACAAAACTACACCATAAAATAACCTTCTTCACGGTATGCATACAAAGATATCCTGTGCTGTATGGGAAGGAGGGGCTTAGTCTGGAAGTTACCCTATCAAATGTGTGCTTAAGTGTACAAAGTGTACAAAGCAAACTGGAGCTCACATTTGCAAAAAAACATTTTTTTACCGCATTTTCTGAATCATCTATGTGAACCAAGCCCTTTGAACAAACATATATTCTTGTGTGCGCACCCTCGCTGTATGCCAGATCACTGACAATTACCAGATGGCACAGGGAGGCTAGACAGCCCAGATTAATCAGGGCATATGTTTCTCGCTGGATGTGACATTGGATGATGTGTGTGTCTACATAGAACAGGCTAGCCTGGATGTAGTGTGAGGTGATGTGTGTACTTTTTTATGTGCACACAGAAAAAAAAGCATGTAGGGGTTGTGTCTGTGCTAGGCGGTGGATGGTTTATGTCTGCAAATATCCTCTCTCACTCGTTCCAAATCTTGGGCTGTGTTTGCTTGACTTGGTGTGGGATCCTGTGTTTCAGATTTGTAGCATCCGAGTGTGTTTGAGAATACAGTTTCTGAACTGCTCATAATGTTTGCAATTGTTATGTGTATGCACCAGTGTTACTAAGTGACTGTCAGCCAATTTTAGTCAGCTGTTTGTGTTTCTGAACAAACAATTTCAGCACCGATGCATTAAATTAGTTTCCATACCCTATTTCTTTCACTGTCACTGACGTCTACAATAATAACATAGCTGAGGTTACATAATGAAAGTATTGTTTATCTTCCCTTAACCTGGGCACAGGCTGCTTAAAAACCAGCCTTTTTGCCAAGTCAAGTGCTTTACATTTGTAGTCGTTCTCATAACCAGCAGGGGGCAAATCTCTTGTTGCAGAAACAGGTCCGATCATGTCGAAGTCTGACCTCAGTAAACAATCTCCTGATGAGTAAATGTTTGCAGACGCAAGCTGAAGATACCGACCACCACAATGCTAAACTCAAAGCTCGAGAATGTCCACAAACCAGTGGGTGACTGTGTATTCAAACTATCAAAATGTTCCTTTGAGTTTTTCTGCTAAACCCATGTTCTTGCTTAAGGTGTGGATTTTTTGCATTCTGAGTGTCCAGATGGTGGTTAAAATGTTTAGCACCAATCATTTTTCAGCAAATAGAAGGACAATATGTTCCACTCTAGCTAGCACAGAGAAAGCTTTTATTGGCTGTTCCCTTATTTAAAACGAGTCGCCACAGCGGATGCATCCACATATTTGATTTGGCACAGATTTTTAGGCTGGATGCCCTTCCTGATGCAACCCTCCCAGGGATCTCCACCTTCTCTGTGTTAGCTACTATACTAGAGGATTTTTCTTTTTTTTTTAACTGAAGCATTGACATTGCTAGAGGCTTGACAGGTTTTAAACTTTCCCCAAATGCAGAAGCTAGACCAACAATTACAGTGAAAGAAAGCATAGAAAAAAGTGCTCATGTGAATGGGTGAATGAGGCAAGCTGTATGAACTGCTTTGAGTCCACTATATAAGAACCAGTCCTTTTACTAAATGCTGCAGTTGTTTTAGGTAAGTGCACATTTTGCCATGTTCAAGTTGAGCTACTACCCTGGAAAGATAATGCAATACACCAATAACACCAATGTTAACTCCATGTATCCAAAATGAGATTTTTATGTTATGGAACCAGTGATCATTGCAGTGAAAACAACAACTCCATGTAACCCAACCTAAATGTCACTTTAATCCATGCTCTCTGTGATTGTGAAACTAGACTATTTGCATGTGTTTCTGTCATCTTCTTCTCACATTGTTGCTTTGTGGTTGGTTGCATAACTGCTCCATGAACTCAAATATAATGCAGCTTCACAGGTTCGACAAGATAGATAAAATAGTTAACATGAAAAGATAAGAGAAGGAATCAAGGGAAAGAGAAAGAAAAGACATCAACCACGCAGAGTGGTCAGGCTGCATACTACCCACAGCATCGCTCTCTGTCCTTTAATCTTTCAGTGCCGGGCTAATTCTTATTGGCGTTATCAAGATTTCTCCCTCCTTGTTTTCACTTCTTCTTGGCTTGCAGACTCCTCTTCAAAAAGCTCTTGGCTCTTTCTACAGTTTGTCACAGAGGCAATCCCCTTCCTCCACTAAAGGTCTTTACATAAAATCCACAGTTTTAGTGTTTCGCAAGTAGGAAGTCTTTAGATTCCCCAAGTGGTTTTAAGTCCAGTCAAAGGTAAAATAAAAATGAATTACTTTTAAAATCACCACAGTCCATTGTGTAAATCTCATTCTCAGCCATACATATGTACAGAACTCCCATCGCACACTTAAAAAAGAAGTTTTTGCTTTGGTTTGATTGTTTCATTTTCTTCTGCAGCCGTTGATGTGGAGAGTAAAGTTTTTATTTTGTGTAAATTCTTCAAATCCAAACCAAGGGTTTAATTTTTTCCCATAAAAAGGTCACTGACATATTCACACATGTAGGGTCATGTTATATTGAGATCTAGATAGCATGGTGGACTAATTTCTGAACTTCACCTAGAAGGTTGTGATTTTATTTTTTTCCTGTGGCAAATTCCCCCTTAAGAATCAACTGTAAATCAAAGTCCTCACATTTATTTCTTTTTCACAATTGCACATGTCTTTTATCTTGAAGTCTTGCTTTCTCTTAATCGAGAGAGCAGGAAAGGCAAATCCACTATCCTCTTGCAGTATTCTTCACCCATGTAGATCTTTCAAACCCCAGTTCTTCCATCCTTCAGTGCATCTGCCCAAGCAAACACTGACGATCCAGACCTCCATTTCCTCTTCTGTCTATAGGACCATTTTTTCCCCCCAATCAGTGGATATTCAAAAGGCCCCAAGCTCTCCAGCCCATCTGTTTATCCATCCATTGTCCCATCGCTTCTTTTTTTTTTTCTCCAATCCTTTCCTCTCAGAGGTCCAGACGGAAGGCGCCAAAGTAGCTAGCAGATTCTTCTGCATTTACCATGGTGGGGGAAGAGACAGAGACGAAGATCTCGTCACCGGCCCTCAGTTCAAAAAGTCCTCCCTGGTAAACGGAGTGTAGGGCGTACTCAGCGTCTGGAGCCCAGCACTTGGTTCCCACACCTTTCAGGAGCTGGAAAAAAATTACAAAGTAGAAAATCATCCCAGTGCTAATGACAGTGCTGAAAGGTACAAATACTTCAGGGTGATCTTTGATTGTTTTAGGAAAACAGAGATGCTGTACCTGTATGGGGCTTGGGTAGGACGTTTTCTTGTAGACGCACTGCACCAGTTGGTGGCTGACGCTGCGCTGGTCCCCCTCATTTGCAGATGGGGATGGATAACGGAAATACACCTGGACAAAGGTGGAAATAAGTTAATGCAGTGACTTGTTTTATGTTTTTTCCTCTTTGACGTGCCCTTGTTTTTGACAGAAAAGCAGGTTTCCTGCAGTCTACCTTACAGGTAGACCCTACTTGTAAGGTAGACCCTACGATAATGAATCCAATCATGTTGTAAACAACAATTAATGGTTAATAAAATTGAATATACAACAGTCACAGACACCTTTATTCAGCAGCTATCACTACAAGGTTAATTAATGACAAACTTGTCATGTTAAAACACACAAAAATATGGCAAAGTGCCTGGAGCATCTCCTCCATCTGCATAGCTTTCTCACCTGTGAGTACAGATAGTACCTCCCATCTTGGGGCACTCGGAGCTTCCCATTAGACAGGGTCATGTTGTGCAGGTGAGCTCCTAGGCTCTGATTGGCCCATGAGCGGACCAAATGGCGGCAGGACTGATGAAGACCAGGCATGATGCTCAGGGAGGAAGAAAACCCTGTTGGCAAAGATTAAAAAAGTGTCAAGAGACAAATTCTAAACAGAAGAGGGAAGAAAAACTGTCACATGGGGATGGAAAATAAAAGGAGTGGGGAAAAACAAACCAGCTAAAGCCTAGAAATCATAGATTGGATGTAATAAAAAAAAAATCAATACCAGGTTTAAAAACTAAGCAAAGACACATATCAGTGAGTGTTTGCCCAAAGCTCATAAGCGGCAGCAGCTGGCAAAATGAACCTTGAATAAATACAGTTTGTGACTCCAGAGTAGTGCGCTTCTGTCTTACAGCCGCCAAAGTTGAGCAATAGTTTGCCTTTTCCCCTAAAGCCCTTAAAATATTGAGAAACATCTGAAATACTGAGTTAAAAAAGATAAAATCCTGTGATTAAAAAAAAAGCACTTTTAATTACAGTATTATTTAAAATTTTGGTGAACGATGTTTACATTACACAGTTGAGCCACCATGTCTATTGGACAATGTAGGCGATGTGGATTTTCCTTCTGAGTACTCTGTAACAGGGCACTCTGAAGTGCACATTCAAACTTGTACAATGGCCACTTAAAGCAGAAGTGGTGATTTAATCTTTGGTTAAGCCTGTTTCACCGGTAAGAGGCACCAACTTGAAGCCAAAGTCCTGTAAGATGCAGGAAATACTGAATACTGCTGACTAGAACCATGTGTAGCAGTTTTCCTCATGGCAGAAATTAAACATTTAACACAAGTGATTTCTCGTGCATGCTGGCTTTATTTCCTCTGCCACGTGTACTTGTGTGACTAGTGTGCAAATCTGAAACACTGCCATCAACAATAGAAGCGTAAGTCTATAACACTACAATGTAAATGCTGTGATTTATTAGCACATAACCATCACAGAGACCTTAACTGAATAAACTCTTCCATCTGATCCAACGCTGAAAAATGATTTTCAATCCAGAAGTGCGAGAAACTGCAGTTCCTTTAGTGGCCACTTGAGGCTCCAAAAACAAGTCACTTTCCAAAGGCTTGCATTAAAAAACATGTTTACAGCCTGATACCAAAAACTGCATTAGCTTTTCTCTTCATAAGAACTCCATGCTGGGTGATTTTTTATTTTAGAACACATCCACCTGGATACTGAAGGGATGGGGGGGTACATTCACTTTAAATGAAAAGTTTTCCCAAAAGAGCTTCACCTCTGCTAGTCAATGAAGTGGACTGCACCATTGTGTACGTGCTGTTTTAGCAGGTACTATCCAAAAAATAATATGACTTACTGTATGGAACAAACCATCCAAGACGTGTGTTACTGACCTGTTGTCTGTGTGACAGTCGTGACAACTTGGTCTTCAAGATGCACTGAAACTGGAAAACGGTAAACGGAGATGGTGTGCCTTTAAGTACAAGTTGCATTTTTTGAAACTTGTTGGCTGCACCTCTGCAGTGCAACTTTTACTTTGAATGTAAAAGTAAATTTATTGTACAGTTTTTCAAGTTGCACTGCTGCTCAGCTAATAGTTAGCAAGCATTCGCAGACAAACATGAAAAACAGGAAACTGAGGCAGTTTGTTACCAAACAAATCGATTGCTTGGAGGTTTTTGGTGCAGCAACTTCTGTGCAACCAATTTCCAGCCAGGAACTATCAGAAACCCTAACAACCAGTCAGGAAAGACGCAGTTGCAACTAGCAAATGGTGATGTCCAACATGGCGATAATTCATGGCATAACTCTTAATGTCTGCAAAATGTGTGCAAGCTTATCTTCATTAACTAATACGTAAGCATGCTGTGCTTTTGCTGTGCTTTTGCTGTCCACATAAGGTACCTTAGGGCTCCAAACAAACCAACGTGGCAACAGCCAAAAGGCAAACTCTGAAGCTTCAAAACGGACAGTCGAAACCCAGATGGCAAAGTCATGGTGACGACTTAAATTCTTTACACTCTCAGTTGTAATTAGTCGGGTCATAGCTTGTGTGTGCCAGCGTGAAACAGTTTTCTTCATGTGTAGGATAACTTCTCTTTCTAAGAAACACCCATCGCGGATCAAAGTTCCTCCAGTACTTCCTTATGAGAAATCCAGGCTTAATGTGTGAACCTCACCCTCTTACAGACACACAGTCTTTCTAGCTCTTGCACACACACACACACAGCACATTTCTTACCCTTTGTCAACTCAGTGGAAATAACATAAGGAAGGCTTTGCCAGATTGTCAACACCCTTCAGCTTGCACGACCGATTCAGATGAAACAATACCAAAGTCATGAAAAACACATTCCAACTTTAAATTCCATGTTTTATAACGTGTGTGATTCTGATCTGTGAACTATATAAATATCTACTTTACTGCCACATACAGCATACTGGTAGACCTCACAGACTCAGCTTAAAACTTCAGTGTTTCTTAGTAAATGCCTCGGGCACACAGGAAGTGGTACGAAAAAGAGCAGCAGAGTAGACTTTAATGTGCTTCTAAACATGCTACACAGGAAAATGGGGAAGAAAATGTGATTTGGAACTTTAACAGATGGAATAACTTAATAATCCACCCATTCATCTTTTTTAATTGGTTATACAGATAGGACCAGTGGAAGGGCTGGAGCCAATCTCTGCTATCATTGGGCAAAAAGTGGGGTACAGGCTGGACAGGTTGACTTCCATCACAGTTCACTAATTTTGATTAAATAAATAATCAAACATACATGTTTTTGGTTTCTGGGAAACCAGAGGCCCCAGTGTGCACCAAAGAACTCGATAATAATACATTTTATTTCTTTGTGAATAATTTTAATAAACAAAGCTTCCTAAACAGGACTGTAGTGTGTGTAAATCTGAAAATAGCCACTGGGTGTGCGTGACACTCACGGACTGTAGCGCTACATTTCTGTGATCTAAGGAGCTTGGAAAGAAAAGCTCTAGACTTCTTTAAGTTTCTTGAAGATTTTTTATCTTTCATCCGAGAAGCTTCTTCAGATTTTTTTCTTTAGATATTTTTTAAACTTCATGAGCAGCTGCTCCCAATGCTCGTCAGTGTTCCTTAGTCTAATTCAGTCCAGATGTCTGAACCATGTAGGAACCAAAACTGTTTATGTGCTTATCGTTGATTTTAACCAATCAACCCACAGTTTTGTGCATGCTCGGCACATGCAAAACATACGGCTCAGCGGCAAAACTTTCATTTTCTTCTCCGACTTCCCGAAATCTTTCGCCTAGATTAATGATGACCGCTTAAACACAGATGCCTCACCTTGAGAACTGGCGTCTCTGAGGGTCAAGTGGGCAGATGGCCTCTGGGTCACGGGGCTCATAAACTTTGACCCTGAGTTGTTGAAATTGTGAGGCATGGTTCTCGCCTCTAAGGGAGAAAGGGGATCAAAGAACATTAAAAAAGTTAGTGAGAAGGTGTGTGTCTGTCTGTGTTTGTGTGTGTGTCTGTAGACAAAGGGATGCTCACCAGTGAAGATGCGCTTTGAGATGATGCTATCTGCCACCTAAAAGAAAATATAGAAAAACATACAAGTCAACAAAAATGTGAGAATAAGAAAAAAAAGGAATTGTTCACTTTATGCTGTTAAATTTAACATCTTAGCGTGACCTAAAAAAAAAGAATGTGCAAACTCACTGCTGGATAAAAAGGAGGTTAATGTAACATGGTGAGCTAGACTAGCTTGTTTCATCTGAGTAACGCAAATAACAAAGGATTATTCACACAGGGCTGGATAGGATACAGCTGATTCATCTAATGCCATCCACCACAATTACCGGACATGTAAAACGATATAAAATTGTAATATTTGTGTAAAAATCTAACATTCAAACTTTTGTTGATAAGTAAACTAAATCAGCAAAAATAAAGTAATTTTTAAAGTTTATTTAATTTATTTTTGTATATTTTGTATACTTTTTGTTTTTTGTCTAAAATTAAATCTCTATATACTATTTACATGTTTTAAATACATTTATTTATTTAAATTATTACATTTCTATTTTTTCCAATGCTTTTTGAAGCATAATAAAACATTAGCAATAAGCAAATAAAATATAATGGTTAACTTAATTCTCTAATGCCTGACAGGAGGTCAACTTAGGTCTGATGACTGTTGTAAATACACGAGCATAAATCAAAGTTACATGAACTTTCCATAATGTTCCAGAGAGAGGGGAAACTGCTCTTTAAGTTAACTACAGTACATACAGTACATATTAAATAACTGAGAAAATTGTAAATAGCTTGATTGAATTATTTCAGGAAATCAGAAGATCTCCAGTCACAGTCACATTGCATAGCCACAGGAGCACAACATCCTTAAACTATGCACGGAATCAGTCTTTAATTAATCATTAAAGCAATTAAACAGCACCACAATAAGGTTTTGAACTTGTGAATTATTGGTCCCATAAATCACTCCCCCACAAATGTTGTCTGTAATTGGATAAAGTACAAAACACTAAGTGTATGAAAGTCAATTTAAAGATAAAGGCACTGTGTTGTACTGTAAGTGTTGTCTGTCAGTCCATTTTTACAGCTTTGTAACTGTTAATAAAGATGAGCTTGTCCAGCTAGAGTGAGAGTCGAAGGTGTTATTTAACTCTGACTGTAAAGTGAATCATTAACCTGCAGTTGTTTCTTTGGGCTCCTCAGACAGCCAGAGCCAGTTTTATGGGTGTGAAGTGGCTGCAGTGGACACAGTTGTTTTGTTTGTGTCGACTGTTCTGTAATGAATTTATTGATTCTATAGTTAAGTAATATTTGTACAGCCCTAAAGTAGCAATGTGTCATGGTTGAGCTTCGTGATGTTTGCGACACCGTCCCAGCTTTGATTCACATAGGGAAAAGAAAGTTTGCTAAGAGAGGAAACCTTAAGGCAACAAACATGTTCTAGGGACAAGACAAAAGCAGAAGTATTGAAATTACAACACGAATCATTGTGAATATATCAGATAAAGATGTAATATTTGGTTTTTTAAGTTTAGCTGCTAAAGGTAAAAGATATTTTCTTTTTTCACAGAAAAATCTTCAGTTGACCCAAAATGCTGCACTGAGAGCACTAACTGGGACTAGAAAGAGAGAGCATATTTCTCCCATTTTGGCTTAGTTTTGGCTCCCTGTTTAATCCAGAATCAAGTTTAAAATATAAAGTCTTTAATAATCAGGCCCCATCTTATCTTAAAGAGCCTTCAGCTTTCAGGCCCCTCATCTGTGGAAACAGCTCCAATTAAGGTTTGTTAGACAGACTCTTTCAAGATGAAGTTTTCCGTATAGTTATGCTGGACCAGGTGACCCTGAACCATCCCTTAGTTACGCTCCTAAAGACTGAGATTGCTGGAGGATTTCCCATGATGCCATTACTCCTCCAATCCCTTCTTTCTTCCTTTGTACACCACTATTGCATGTCATTAACTTTTGTCCCAGACTGCCTTTTGTCCTGTTTATTGCCTATGGTCTATTACCCCCTCACTCCCAAACCAGTTGCAGCAGATGGCTGCCCCTCCCTGAGCCTGGCTCTGTTTCTTCCTCCCCGCCATCGTAAAGTGCTAGTGGAGCTCTTCCTCTAAGACCTTGCAGGTCTTCACGTCACAACAAAGTGCCTTGAGATGAGTGTTGCTGTGAACTGGTATAATTAATCTGAATTATTTTAGCGTAGCTCAACTAACTTTGGTACACTTCTCTCAGTGAGAATGAGGGAGAGGGACCTGATCCTGATGAATAATGACTACAGGAGAAAGAACATTCAGGACATTTTCATCAGCAGAGAATGTGTGGAGAAGTTTCAGACTTAGCTTAGTTTTAAAATTGGACAATACACTACATGCTCTTTTTTTCTTTCATTTTACACTCTCCTGTCTTTTTTGCCTTCTTTCATCATCTCAACTCTTAAATATAAACTTTCCTTTTCTTCCCTCAACAGCACACACTTCCCCGTCATCCAGTCTCTGGTTTATTTCTCCTGCTCCTCTCTATCATTTATGTTCCCAGGGAGTGGCTTTTGTTTCATCCCAGGTGTAGACACAGCCAGGACCAAAATACAAACAACTGACAAATTCAAAGAATAAAGAACAAACAGCCAAAAAAACAAGCCGACCCTCAACATCACAAAGTATGTTCTAGTAAAGTGTTTGGGCAGCTCGTGCTGCCAGAACAGCTTCGGTGTGCCTTGGCATTGATTCCTCAAGTCTCTGGAACATCAATCTAACAAATGATATTCCTTTATTTAGTGTTTTGATGATGTGGTGGAGAGTGCTGTCCAAAGCATGGGCCCAAAGATCTCCCACAGGTGTTAAACCGAACTGAAAGCTGGTGACTTAAAGCGAAAGCATATGATTCTCATCAAACCACTCGGTGGCATTGTCATCCTGGAGTCTGCCATGAGAATACAAGTGTTTTAAACTGATCTTTTCCTCTAAGGAATCAAGAAAGCCAACCCCTAACAGAGCCACCAGACCCCATAACGGCAAGGGTCAAGGGTCAAAGTTCTTCCTTTAATTTGTCACGCGTGCACACACACACACACAGATGCGTTTTGTCTCTCACACACACTCAGTAAATCTTCTTCTCCTACACACTGCTTTCTCTACTGACACGTGTTCCTTTTTTTGTCTCTCCCACTTTGTAAATCAAGCTTCAGTTGCCTTTTGTGCATAAAATAGATTTCCCTCAGCTTTAACTTACTTAGCGAGCTTTTAATTTATAATTCCTTTTACTTCTCTCCCCCCTTTTGCCTGTTCTCTCTCCCTTTCCCCCCTTTCTACTACATGTCTGCCCACTCTGCCCACCTGTTGGGCTCATGTGGTCAATCTGAAGTGCCCCGAAGCTGGGCACTGAGCTCCTATTGAAATAAATCTCTGTGATTAATTTGCAGAAATACCACAATATCCTGAATATGATTAATTCCATTTTTAATGGTCACCCAGCTGCCCATGTGATGTTATTCTTGGCAGTGGGATTGTTTCTCCTGCACTGAACACTCAGCTCAACCTGCAAATTGAGCATGATTGCTCTGGGGTTCAGTATGTGTGTGTGTGTGTGTGTGTGTGTCAGCGTGACACCACGGCTTGTGTATATCCTATGTACTCTAAGGGGGGAACACAATATAGAAAAGTGCAACACAGAGTGTCGGCTGGTCTCGCTCGGCGTAGCGTGCCTGTCTCTGCCTAACGTTCCTTGGGTCCTGAAACCAGAAAATTACCCCCACACACACTTAAAGAGAGAAAATTGCCAACAGACTTTCTGCCCTGCATGTGGCTGCAGTTGAAGAAAGAAAGGGGAAAAAAAACAACCCAGAAAAACACAGTGTTTCAGAAGCTTTCAAGCTCTTTCAGGGCAACTCTGGAGCAACATGTTTTCATTATGTCTGCTGTCTCTGATGCTTAAGCTCTCGCTTGGGAAACTATGGGATGGCTACAGCGTGACATCAGCTACATGCATAATGCTGCACACAGGATTGGAAGGTTTCAGTGGCATCCTGAAAGATTCTGGACCAGCAGCACTTTTAAATGTGAAACCAGTGTCACTTGGAGTTATAGTGCTTTGTTTCCTTTACTGCCATTTGCCATCTGGTTTTTATTTACAACCTTCTGTATGCAGTAACATATGCTCGCTGGCCACTTCATTAGGTACAAGGTGTCAACCGCTCACTAATGCAATCAGCCAATCACATGGTGGCAACTGCATGCATTTAGGTATATAGGCATGGTCAATACGACCTTCAAATACCAAATAGGAAATAAAGCTGAGGAAGGAAGTAATAATAATCGCTTATTACAACCAAGGTATTCAGAAGAGTGTCTCTAAACAGACTGCAGCTCAATCCTTGAAGCAGATGGGCTACAGCAGCAGAAGACCACACTGGGTGCCATTGCTGTCAGCTAAGAACAGGAAACTGAGGCTACAGTTCACACAGACTTAATCATATTGGACAATATATTGGACTATATTGCACATATACATATAAAGCACATTCTCACTTTTAGTCTTATTTTAGAATGTGTACTTGAGTGGGTGTTGTGTGTTTTGTGTACAAGGCGTCAAACTTGCTTGAAATAAATGGCAGGCCCCGATGTGAAAAGATAAAGCACATTTTAGATAAAAATGATTACTGCGGGATTTTCCATAAAGACATAAAACACACAACTGGCCGCAGTGAAAGTAAATCATGTTCTGAGCGAGGATGATTTTTCTTGCACTGTCCAAGTCCATTGCTATGAGAGTTAAGAAACACTTGCTGAAAAATGGAGTGTGAGGGAAGGAAAATGAGTTCTGACATCTTAAACATATAACGTAAAAACACATCTAAGTGTTGTTCTGCATAAGTAAACACAATATTTCCTTCAGGTGAGCCGATCGCATGAATTATACCTCAGTGGAAACTTGCATGGCTTGTTTTCAGTATGATGAATTGGTAATAAAGGGAACTTTTTTCTTTCTTTCTTTCTTTCTTCCTTTCTTTTTTTTTTGATTTTCCAACTTTCCCCTCTGGTTGCAGCTTGAAGT